GGGGGGCAGACATGGTTTTCTTTTCACCCGGTTTCAGATCATGTTTGAATAACAGAAGTTGTAGATTTCCCTCCTTTGTTGTTTCTGTCATTTTTACTGCTTTTTGTTATATATATATTTAAAGCAGCAGATTCCAAGTTCATGCAGCCTCAATTTGCCTCAGGACCATGCAGGGACAGGAGAGGGGCTTTAACCCTTCAACCCCCACTTGGCCCGAGTCCGGACTGGCAGTTTGGCCCGGCAGCCAAACGTTTCAGGAGCGTTTCAGGGGCGGATTAAAGGGGCGGGTTCACACAGGCACATCTGTCAGGCGTCCCCCAGCCATACTCAAGCCGTCTTGTGCCGCTTCCCTCCCGAGTTTAAAAAGAACCAGGTGAAAGTGGTAGCGAACCGTGTGTAGAGCGGGTTGATTCCGGTTCCCTGACGTGTGAACGCAAGCGCTGCTAAGGCGGGAGCAACCCGCAGTTATTGATAATAGGCACTGGCTGTTTCCGCGGCAGGCGCCCATGCGCATGCAGCAGAGCACAGAAACAGCCACGAACAGCCCACCAGGGGCGGGCCAACAGTGCGAATGCTCCCTTGTGCTTCCTCCACGGTATCCTCCCGCTTCATTCGCTGCAGTGTGAATCTGCAGGTCTGTTCCGGTCTTCTTTTCCACAACTTCCTAGCGCTTCAACTTGCCAGTCTGAACTTGGCCTTGGTTTCTCTCCTGGCTTGCTACTGGCATTTTAAAGGCATGTTTAGTGAAACTGAGTGGAGTTTGAAGGGTTAAAGCCCATCTCCCTCCCCTGCATGGCCGTGATGCAAATTGAGGCTACATGAGCCAGGAATTTGCATTTTGTATGAGTGGACTGAGATGATTATTTTCTGGGTCTTTTCTGTTTGAGCTCTTATTTAATATGCGACCTAACAATTATTCAAAGCTTTAGCGTTTTGCCAGATCGTAAAGCAATCAAGGAGCTGTGGTGGCATGCTGAACTGCAGGCCGTGGAAGGTCAGTAGTTCAGCAGTTCAGCAGTTCGAGACCCGGGTGCTGCATGACGGAGTGAGCTCCCATCTCTAGTTCCAGCTCCTGCCAACCTAGCAGTTCGAAAGCAAGAAATTGCAAGTCGAAAAATAGGTACCACTTTGGTGGGAAGGTAACAGCATTCCGTGCGCCTTGGTGTTTAGTCATGCTGGCCAAATGACCACGGAAACGTCTTCGGACAGCGCTGGCTCTTCAGCTTGGAAACGGAGATGAGCACCGCAACCCTAGAGTCGGACTCGACTGGCTTTCGAGAAAGGGAACCTTTACCTTTACTTTTTAAAGCAATCAAACGATCATGAAGGAAATAAAGCTAGATCATAAAGCAAACAAAAGACAGTTCAGCATGCAGACTTAGTCAGGGGGGAAAAACCACAACGCATTTCCAGATGTTTCAAAAAGACAACGAAATTAGCAGCCCTCTGTGAGGCATACTTTCCTTCCCCTCCTAGAGACGGAAGGTGAAATGATCTAGCTAAGTAAATCCATGAACAGACCCTGACTTAACTTAAACGAAACAGATTCAGGTGGGTAGTCGTATTGGTCTGAAGCAATAGTTTGAGTCCAGTGGCCCCTTTAAGACCAGCAAAGTTTAATTCTGTGTATCAGCTTTTGTGTGCAGGCACTTCTTCAGAAAGCTTATACGTAGAATTAGACTTTGTTATACATAGAATTAATTGGTCTTAAAGGTGCCACTGGACTCAGACTTTGTTCTATTAACTTAAAAAGATAGGTGGCCCTTCGGTTTTTACCTCAGAACAAAATGGCCGCCGCAGTGGCTCACTTCGATTAAAAGCGAACACAAATAGCAAGTAAAGTACAATCTTAGTGATGATGTCTCTGGCCAGAGGCGATTGAAGGGGCTCTTCTCCTTCTAGTGGCTTCAGAGACAGAACTTGATAGACGGGAGAAATTCTCAACTGTGAATGGAGCCAACCCCGGGGGGGGGGGGGGATCTCAGGAGTTCTTAAGCAGCAGCCATGACAACTAAAAATGGCAGCTTAAGTATTGAACTACCTTGAGGCAGCCTCTCATATGTTTATGGCAGGGGTCGTCAACCATGTTGGACTTGTGGGTACTGTTTTTGAATTTTGAGAAAGGGCAGCCAGTGACCACCACCACAAAATGGCTGCCACAGGACAAAATGGCTGCTTTCAGTAGAGCCATTTAAAAACACTGGGAAAGTCCAAGCGAGCATTTTCCTACAATGAAGTCAGCTGCTTCCGAATGGGTTCTCCCTCCCTGCCGACCAGTGCTCATGCGCACCCTGGCACCCACTTACACGCTTCCTGGTGCCCGCCAAGTGGGGCCACGTGGTGCTTTTGCTTGGGAGATTTGATTGGCTGTGCAGATTCTTTTTTAAATGTTCCTTTGTCAGCAGCTGCCACCACAGCACAAGGACCTGCACTATGTGACTGAAAGTAAGCTGCAGCAGCCATTTTGTGGCTGGCTCCACCTCCTGCGGCAGCCGTTTTGCGGCTAGCTCCGCCTCCCGCGGCTGCCATTTTGTGGCAGGATCTGCCTCCTGCGGCAGCCATTTTGCGGCAGCCATTTTGCAGCTGCGTCCACCGCACTGTGTCAGGATTCCAATGGTGCCTGCAGGCTCAAAAGGATTGGGGAGTCCTTCTATAGACCCTCTTGCTCTGGTGAACTGGGGGGGGGAGCCAGGATTGGTTCTGTTTTTCAAGGCAGGAACAAGTAGACATTGACGGGTATCAGTTTTGGGGTGGCTGCCCCACAGAATCCTCTTCTTTTCCAACATACACAGGGCAAACACTCTGGTCGCCCACCTGGGCGAGACCGATACGACCCGGATGGAGGGCACAGAGCAGAACATAAACGCCGCCCTGGTCATACGCCACCCCAACTACAATGACAAGACCCAAGACAACGACATCATGCTGGTCAAACTGGCCCAGCCAGCGAAATTCAACCAGTACGTCGCTCCCATCCCGCTGCCTTCCAGCTGCCCAGCGGCCGGGACCTGGTGCCTGGTCTCCGGCTGGGGGAACCTCCTCACCCACGGAGGTGAGTCTTGGAGCCACAGGGAGGCCAGGGAAGGGCTCGGTGCGCCAAAGGGGAGGAGGAGGAGGAGAGGAGGAGATTGGATTTATACCCCCACCCTTCACCACCTGAAGGAGTCTCAGAGCGGCTCACAATCTCCTTTCCCTTCCCCTCCCCGCAACAGGACACCCTGTGAGGCAGGTGGGGCTGAGAGAGCTCTTTTGAGAACTGCTCTTTTTCAAGGACAGCTCTTATCAGAACTACGGCTTGCCCAAGGTGCAAGTGGAGGAGTGCAAGTGGAGGAGTGGAGGTGCAAGTGGAGGAGTGGGGGAATCAAACCTGGTTCTCCCAGATCAGAGTCCGCGCACTTAACCACGACACCAGACTGGCTCTGTTTATTCTGGAGCCCTCCTTCCTGAGCCAAAGACAAAAATGAGTGAGCCGGAGGCTAAAAAACTGTGAGCTAGCTCACACTAACTCAGTTTAGAGGGAATACTCCCCCCCCCGAATTTGGGTCTATCACTACGATATGACGTCACTCCAGAGGTCATTTCGGGGGGGATCGCGGGGGATCGCAGTTCCCCCGGGTGAGGTACGGGGGGCGGGGCACATGACGAAGCTGTGACCCCCCCAGTGGTCACGTGACAGATGCACCCCAACTTCGGTCTGTCCTCTGCTCCGTGCTCTGTCGGCACTGTGCGAAGTGGCTGTCTCCTTGTTCCACGCGGACGACCGTTTTGCTCTTGCTCGGTTTAAAAAAAAATGGCCTCTGTTTAAAAACGAGGAACGAGTTGCCGGCCGGGGATCCAAGGTCTCGAGTAACCCAGGGGTGGAGGCCCCCTCCTAACGGTGCAACGTCTCTTTGCAGTCGCCTACCCCGACAAACTGCAGTGCCTGCGAGAGCCGATCATCGCCAACGCACAGTGCAAGCAGGCGTATCCTTATTACTACAGCAGCAACATGGTGTGCGCCGGATTCATGCAGGGCGGAGAGAGCACCTGCCAGGAAGCGTCCTCAGGGCCGGACCAGGTTCTGCCTCCAAACCCCACCTTGAGGCCTCCTCACAGGAGAGATGGGCGGCACTCCACTTGTAAGAGTCCCTCCGCCTCCAGTCCTGTTGTTTTGTTTTCTTTTATGCACTTTAATTCCCTCTCCAAAGCCTTTCCTGGCCCACGTGCTCCAAAAGGTCCATCCACAAAAGCTTTCTTTCGGAGATTTGCTGGGACAATGCTAGGATTGCCAAATCTGTTTTGGCCGGGAGCAGGGGGCTCCCGGCCGGTGTCAAAGGCGTGTGCGTGCACGTCTCCCGGAAGTGACGTCGCACGCTGGGGGCGGGGCCACGCCATTTGAGGGGAAAACAAAGGGGGTGGGGTTTCCCCCGGGCCCAATTTTCGTCGCGTCGAAAACCGGGCCATCAAAGCGAGGGATTCCCCGCCCCCCGGCGCCATTTGGGAACCCTAGACAATGCGCTTTCCCGCATTCTCGTTTCCTCACTCGTAAGTTCCTGTTTCTTGGGGGGGGTAGTCTGTTCTGCATGTGTTTTGCTCCCTCTACAGGTCGATTCGATATTACGACACAGGGTGGGGTGGGGGGAACAAACTTTACCCCAAAAACTGGAATCGAGAACCACGAGGGTAAGAAAGAAGTCTGAGAAAGGGCCAGTATTAAAAACCTAGATGAAACTTATACAAAAATGTGTGTATCTATTAGAAAGACAGTTAAAAACATACAAGGGCCCAATGAAAGCCTCGTTAAAAAGTTCAAGTGGACTAAACACACGGGCTTGAGCAGAGGTCATTTCGGGGGGGATCGTGGGGGATCGCAGTTCCCCCGGGTGAGGTATGAGGGGCAGGGCACATGATGAAGTCCCACCCCCTGCTTCCGGCCGCCCCGCTTCCGGCCCTCATTCAGCCAGGAGGAGGCAGGAGAAGAGGAAGGGTAAGTTGCTTCCTCCCTGCCTCTCCTGACCCCTGCCTGCCTGGGGCCAGGGAGGGCCTTGGCGGGGCTTCCTTGCACTCCC